ATATATATATATATATATATATATATATATGATACACATTTGATACATATGTGCTACATAAGTGACACACACGTGATACACCCATTATTTTTTTCATGTTCATCTTCTACTTGGAATTTTCAATTCAAACCACCTCAAAACACCACTAAATCATCCCAAAACTGAGATTCAAACTCTTTAAGATGTACTCAATCTATTTTAATAACACTCACTCAAAGAAAAAGAAAAAAAATGATATTTTTGGCTACAAATAGCTAATTGGTTAACATTGATAATATTTGGCTAATATTAATAATATTTTATGAACTGATCAATTTTTTTAATAAGCTGCTTATAAATTGACATAACTAATATTTTCCCTAAATTGAATACCCTATGTGCTAAATAAGAATAATTACAGAGAACGAATTGTAGTATTTAATTTATAGCCTCTCATTTGAACATAACCACGTTTACTGGCTTGACTACTTCAAGTCGTTCAAAGCTTGAAAGTAATATAGCAAACATTGAAATAAAAGAAAGGAAAACAGGCTTCATTAATACGAGACTTCATTGCTGTACTTAATTGAAACATGTTAAATATAAGCGTGAAGACAACACAGGCACTCTCTTCCTCGATAAAACTGAAGATAATTTATTCTCAAACATTACTAGTATCTCAGTTTTCACCATTACTCAGTAATAGAAGTACTACTATTATTCCTATGTTCTCAAACTACATTTTGCTCCAAATTATCCTCAAACATTGACAGGCTCAACAAACAACATGGTAATCATATCTTTAAATTCGCTTTGGGCACTTGCAAAATCATTTTCTTCAAAAATATATGCCAAACGCGCAATATTTATAACTAATTCGAGGACAAACGTTGGTACTTCGTCATGAGTAGAACATAGGAAGTCCTTGTTCATGTCTTTCCCTGCATTAGTGATTTTCTTCTGTGCCTCAACATATGCCTCTTGCTTTGAACCTCCATATTCATTCATGTAGCATTCAATAAATGAAGCTATATGCTTCCTTTGTTGTTCCAACTACACTCAATAAGCTCTTAGATGAGATGGTCGTACAATTTATTTATTTATTGGAGGAAAAAAGATGCGATAAAAAAGGCAATTCGGTGCACTAAGCTCTCCCGCTATGCGCGGAGTCGGGGGAAGGGCCGGACCATAAGGGTCTATAGTTTATTGTACGCAATCTTACCCTACATTTCTGCAAGAGGTTATTTCCATGGCTCCCGTGACCTCTTGGTCACATGACAGTGACTTTATCAATTACGCCATGGTTCTCATTCCGGAAAAAAGATGCAAACTGAAAATTAAATATAGCGTAATACTTACATTATGTCCAATACAATCGCCCTTTAATCTGTTGGAAGCTCGTAGAATCAAATTAAAGGCTCATTTATCATCCATTCAAAAGTCTCTTTGGCTATAGATTCCTCCATAAAACTCATGGATGTTGTTGCAACCATCATACAAGTAGTAGTTATATTTGCATTCTTCATATACTCGTCACATTTTGGAATATAGCCAGCATTTAACCATTCTGCTTCCATAAAAAATGCTCTAGCCAACTTTTTCATCTAAGAAGGAGAATAAAACAAAACTGTAGAACTATATAATGTTGAAAATATAATTAAGTGAATAATTACAAGTGTGGTCTCTCTAACATTTTAAGCTTTTAGATAGACGTTCACACAATTCTACGTTACAAAGCTCCTATATCCGTATTAAGAATAATTTTTGCGTGCTTGGCACATGAAAAAGAATTATAAGGCTCACACATAAAAGAGGCTTGTTGAAGACATAATTAAGTAAAATATGTGTTTTGTCTAAGTATAGTTTAAGGCTTTAAGCTTTTAGACGAAAGAGTCATACAATTATAATCTTGGCAATACCATGTCTTCTTTTAGATTTTGGATGTTTCCTTCCTCTCTACTCTTATCATTTCTTCACTATAACTTAGTTAATTAAACTAATTAATGAAGCTATGGTAAGGTTTGATTCAAACGAAATGAAGCTAAGGGAGCTTA